AAAAAAAAAAAAAAAAAAAAAAAATTAAAAAATTAAAAAAAAATGATTTTTTAAGAAAAAATCTTAAGGCTAAAACTTGATTGAGTGAATTGTCATGGTGAAAGCACACTTGAAATGTAAAGAAATCTAAAAATTATCTTGAAATGAATTCTTGCCCGAAGAACAAGGTTCATAGATTTGTTAAAAATATCAAAAATAAAAAATAAAAATGTTCTAATTCAAGAAAAAAAAAACCCACCACGAAAATCCACGATCTACACAACTTCACCTCCATTTTTCTCGTTAATTTCATCTCTATAAAACGAGCCGTCCTTCCCTTTTCCTCGAACCTTTCGATTGCTTCCCGAATTTCAGATACCATTCTTCTTCAACCAATCCCAACTCCTCTTTCAATTCGATTCCGTAGTTCGCCGCAGAAATCGAAGATAATCGCCACTGTTATGCGTAAAGTTCTTGAATCTTATTCATATTCCACGATTTGATTTCTTATTGTTATGAACATGATTGCTTTGATTGATAATTCGTCGATGAAGGCTTCTTGTAGGCTTCTAATTAGCTGTAGAAATTCTAGGGTTTTTGGATTCTCACCTGCAAAAGCCCTAAATACTTCGCCTCATAATTCTTGTTTGAACTTTTGCTTCAAATTTCATTCTATTAGGCAATATAATTCTTACCCTTTTCATTTCTCGAGGTCTCAATGGATTTTAGATGGCACCAAGAATTCTTCTGTGGCTAGTTTAAGTTATGGCCAATCCAGGGTAATTATGAGGTCTTATAGTTATAGTATACTCCCTAAACCCAAAAGGGGTTTGTCTATAATTGCTAGAATTGCGTCGAATGTTCGTGATTTTTCGAGGTCGATTGAGAAACATGTGAATGACAATAACTTTGAGAAGATATATATTCAGGGTGGTTTGAATGTGAAGCCTCTGGTTGTTGAGAAGATTGATAAGGATGAGAATATTGTAGGAGAGGAAGATTCTAGGATAGAAATTGTTAGTGAAGATGTAAATGAGGAGAACTTAGAGGGTTTGAACAACGCTAAGGTCGTTATTTCGACAAGAGAGAAGTCTGATATTGAGAAAGAGGCTTGGAGGTTGCTACGTGACGTTGTCGTGACGTATTGTGGAAGTCCGGTTGGGACCATGGCTGCAAATGATCCGGCCGATAAGCAACCATTGAATTATGATCAGGTCTTCATTCGAGACTTTGTTCCCTCTGCTCTCGCGTTCCTGCTGAACAAAGAAGGGGAGATTGTGAAGAACTTTCTCCTTCATACCTTACAGTTACAGGTACCGTTTTTCATGTTCTTTATCGGTTGTGTTATACATTTCCTTTTCTTAATGTTTATATTATGTTTCTTGTCCCTACAATTTCTAGTACTTAAGTATTTTCATGTGTTAAAATTTGTTAATCTTTTATAAGTTACACAATGTCGATCGCTCTGTTTGAGCATGTATGATATGGAATTCCATGGACCCTTAAACCAACACTAAGCGACGGGTTGTCTATTATGTTCAATGGTCGGTCATAACGAACCCTGGTGCAATCATGTTCATCCATACCAAGA